AAGTAGCATTGCTGATTGTAGCATGTTCATATATTGTATGTATATATTATGTGACATGTTACACAAACTCCAAGCTGACAACATGTTTGTTTTCGAATTAGCTTTTTTATAATGAAATATATTATTTATTTTTATTTTAATTTTACAATTATTTAAAATTTATCATAACTCGACGTTTTAACAATTTGTTATTTCATAATTTTTTCATGCAATTTTGTGTGTTTTTTTAAAGTTTATTAGTATGCACTGAAGATGGGTCAAATCAAGACCCGAAACGTATGTTTTCTTAATAAAAACATTTTCTTTCAATAAAACATTTTCTTTTTAATTACTGGATAGATGCCCAAGAATAATTTTAATTATTTCACCATCTGAAGAAAGACCTTTCGCTTTATATATACACACACACACACACATATATATATATATATATATATATATATATATAAATATATATATATATATGTTGGTCATTAAAATTTTCTAATCATTTACTATTTGATGCGACAAAATTCATCTAAACAATTGTTTCACAAAAGTTTCAATTTGTGAATTTGCTCATAAAAAAACCGTCTATAATTTTTTGAATAATTTAAATATCTGATAATAATGATGTATTATTCAATTGATACTTTGTTATTTTATTAGTCTCCGAATCGACCTTGTTCGAGATCATGTTACGCAGTTTACGATAGTGCGAACATGACACATACAAGTAAAATTTGTATGGATAATAGTTAGTATATTAAATTACATTGAAATCTATACCATAATTTTATTATAGACAGTTTTAATATAATTGGATACTTTTTTAAATATATTATTTGAACGATCAAATTAATATCTATATTTCCAAGTAAATGCCAATGTTACTACAGCTTGACATCAGGCTGTCCGACGCGAGTATTGAACCTCTGATTTAAATCTTATAGCCCTAACCTGATTAGATCTTTGAAGAATATTTCAATGATTGTGTAAAATAGTCATTTGTAAAATTAATTCAAATTTGCAATTAGCTATCAAATAAAAATAATTTATAATCTAATAAATTTCCATAATAAACGTGAACTTGATCTCATACATTGTTGTCAATTTTGATTACATAATTACTTCTGGTTTTGCAAAACATCTTCAGGTACAAGATACATGACTAAAACTAGTTCCATTAGATTTTTTCCATGTCCAATTTCCTATTAATATTCATTATTTTTTTGCTCATTACATAATTCTAATTATATTATTTGACTCTTCTAAAACTAGTTCAGTATTCAAAGGTATTAATTTATTTTATCATCGATCAATGACCAGTAAGTTGTTGACCTCGAAAATTAAATAATACATAATATGTAGCTAACATAAAAAGTAATTTTGGCTTTTTACCAAAAAAGGTCAAGCTTTTATTCGGACTATCAGAGGATCGATTTGTTCTTGAATAGTCCTTTGATTGCTAAAGCTTTTAGTAGATGATTCTCATTACAATGAGAAGATTGAATATTACAAAGAGATGATTCATTACAAAGAGATGATTCAATATTAATTTTTATTAGTAAAAGATATTAATTAACATCAAATTTAATAACGGTCTGCCTACATAGAAAAAAACTTGGTCAAAACTTATTTGGTAAAAAAAAGTTCACAGTATCATAAAAGGCAAATCCAAAAAGATTTACCAAAAAGCAAGGAATCGCGGAATAAAAGATAAGAATTGAATCAATTGAATGTCTCAAATTTTATGAAAATTATTATGGTTAAAAAACATATCTCTATTTGCTAAAAAAAACTTTTTACTTATATTTCAAGTCATTCCAGTTCATTACATTAATCTATGGATTTCAGTATATTAAAAGCTTACAAATAACAAGTATTTACGTATTCCTTATCCTTGGAATTGAGAAAGGATCGTCATATATACTTATGAACAAAAAATCCGTTAATATATGAATTGTTGATATTTTTATTTTGAAACGTAAAGAGTGCATATATTAAAATCTAATTACCATGTGCTCTCTAATTAAAGTTACGTAATTATTTACTGTATTTACTGCAAATATATTATATAGCCTCTTTGTCTTTTGCAAATAATTTACACAGGATGGAATATGTATTAAAAATAAATATGACAAAAATGTGTGCTTTTCATACATTATAAGAAATTATCATATGCGAAGGTCAAAAGATTGGTGACGTCTTAAGACTATTTACTTGTTGTTCCGCATATTTATTATTGCAATAAGAAAGTTGGTATTTGGACTGCAAAATATGCACAAACTATATATATATATATATATATATATATATATATATATACATACATACATACATATATATATATATACATACATACATATATATATATATATATATATATATATATACATATAAATTTCTGCATACCGTTGCAACAAATATTTATTTTTGGTTATTGATGAACATACGCCTCTACAGAAACATATGTGCAATCTGATTTGATTGTTTGCAATTCATTTGTTGAATATTTGTGATACGTATTATGAAATTTAATGAATTCAAATTAATTTGTCTTTAGTTTTGTTGAATACACAAAGTTCAAATAAATTTTATTCACAATTTGATAACACTAGGAATTTATTAATTTCTTGTGAATGCAGACTCTACTATAGTTGTTAAGTTCATTGACGATGTCAGCTCCAACAATTTAATCATAATTAATAATTTATAATTTATATTATAATAATATTATTGATTTTCAACATAACTACTCTATCCACTTTTGCTAGTAAAATTTGTTACATTTGAACAGATTTAAGTTCATTTTCTCAATTTATGGGTTTCTATGGGTATTTCATCGAACAAGTATTTGTTTGGGATTTTCAAATTATTTTTTCCTATTTATTTTATAAAATTTGCGTACAAATTCAAAAAAGACATTACTTAATGCTAGATAAAATGTGTTATTTATCCCAATCTTTATGATTATTTCTGAAATATGCAGGAAGATTGAGAGTTAATGGGAGAAAATCGTTTTTTTCTGCCAAAGCTTGGTTTAAAATATTTACGTTAAAATAATTAGTATCTAATTATAATTTTCACGGACAAATTTCAATCAAAATTTGTATTTTCTAAATATATGTATTTCTAAATATTTGTATAGTTAGGTTTGTACGGAAATAAACCCATATCAACATTGTTGATTGATTTGTTACATACATACGTTGGTGAATTTTTTTTCATTGCATTTGATTTAAATTTAACATTAAAATCGTACAAAAGTTTTCTTATATGATATGAATAATTATAAAATATCAAAAAAAAGATTTCGGTGTAATTAATTTGTGTTCTGTGGTTGACACTTTTTTACTGTACGCAGTTTAAGTTTTGATATAAAAAAACATTTCAAGCTAAATCATTTTTTGTTGATAATATAACTTATTCCCTTCATATGCAAATTTTCAAATATGATTCCAATTTGCAATATTGGTAACAAATATATGACTCTGATCCATATTATTATATTATTATAAATCAAACTTTAACAGAACATTTTTATTGATATTGGTATCTATATTTAACTGCATGCTCTCATTGTCAGTACTAGTACGATAAAATTAGTTGTTTTTCTAAACTTTTCAATTTTATTTAATTTTATAATTTTGTATAACATTTAACTTATGAGATTATAATATTATGCAGAATATTTAACAATATTATATAATTTACCGGTTATGAGAACTAAAATTTTTAAAATTATTCGTTAATATGGACTTTGATAAGGTGATAAAAATAGAAAAAGCAATGAATACATTTTCATAAGCAATTATACTATTATATCAAATCCAGTTTTTACTTGTATAATGATTTTATCGTGAAAATTAATATTAATACTGAAAAAATCAAATAGTAATACTGAATAAATGCGATATACTAAATTAGAATTTTGACTAAAATAGGGTGTAAAAGTAACGCTTGTAATATGTTGTGAAAAAATTGTACATAAAGTACAAATAATATAAAATTAAGTGTTGAATATAAAATTAAAAAGTCGCCAATGATATTATTAATAAAATTAAAAAATACCGTAAAAAACAGAACTTAGACTAAAAACTTCTATTAACTTTTCTAAATTCCATATAAATGTACCAATATACATAACACGTTTTAAGATCACAGGGCAAATGATTAAGATAATAACATAAAAAATAATTGTATAAAGGTACTATTCTAATAACTAATTTATAAAAATTTAAAAGCATGGCGTTGAAGTAAAATTTAAATATATTCATTTTCTTCAGTCTAACTTTATAATCGTTTATATTTTAATATTTTTAACAAATTATTGCTGTTACTAAATGAGATTTTTTTCATATCGTTGCTATTTTGTCGTAATTATAATAAATTATTTTTATTAGAATAAAATTCTATTGTGCTTAATAATTAAATATATCATTTGATATCCTAAAATATATAAAGGGGACATAATATTTTGTTTTTTATTATTCACATTTTATTTATTATTCTAGTTTCAACAATCAAATTACATTCATATTTACAAGTTGAGAGTTGGCATTGAAAATATAAAAAAAATATAAAAAAGTAAAGAAGAAACACAAAAAGGATTGAATAAATGAATAAATATTAATTAAAATAATAATACTAATAATAAATATTAATTATAAGTAACTTTTGGGTTAATAATTTTTCATCATAAAAATTTAAATTAAAAAACCGTTATCAGCGCCATCAGAGCCCTCTATAAAATATTATCCTGTCATCCTATCAAAATGACAGTTCGCTTAAACGTCAAATGTCAAACTTCAAAATTATTGTGCAAAGTCAAATTACGCATTTAGAATATTAAAATCAGTATCTCCAAAAATACATACAAATCAATTCAATAGCTATTATTCGAATGACATCATGTTCAAAATAAATTAAACACAAATATAAAAATGAAGCTAATTTTTGGAAACTGTGTGATTCCAAGGACGACAGAAATATAAAACAGATTCATGTGTGTTGTTCCGCGAAGTCAAATGTTTGAATGTATATAGTGTGTTATTCAAACATTCCTAGTATTTCTATATTATACAATATGACTCACAAACGATTCTAATATCTAGAGTTTTGATGCCGCGTCCTCAGTTTGACGCGCTAGTTCAACACGGTGAGGTCGATTTGTAAAATTTACTAATATAAAAGTGTATTTTAACCCAATATTTCACTTGTTTAAATTTAAATTCATCTATATTTCACACATACATTGTCTAATGTCAATTTTCTTTCTTTCCAGCACGACTTGTGTTTCTTTTTGTATCAGTGTTAATACCAATTTCAACAATGGCCGATCCCCAGGAATTGTCTACAAGTATTAACCAGTTTGCTGGAAGCCTGTACAATGTGAGTGATTACTTATTTATTTTGCTTGGGCGTGTGCTATGACTAAATAGCATCATGGCCGTGTTTTCTTTTATATCGATAGCTAAAGGTTTGATTATAAACAACATATACTTCTGTAGTAATGATAATTTGTACCCCAGTTCATATTGTCGTCTAAAGGTATTGCACCAGCCTTTTAGTTTATAATCATTCCCTGTTTGCTTTTATATCGATAGCTAAAGATTTGATTATAAACAACATATACTTCTGTAGTAATGATAATTTGTACCCCAATTCATATTGTCGTCTAAAGGTATTGCATCAGCCTTTTAGTTTATAATGAATCTCTGTTTGACACTTATCTGTTGCTTATCCTTAATGGTCCGTAAGAGTTTCTCCTTCACATCATTTATTTTTGACAATTATAAAGTATGTATGATAATCCTGAAATTAAGCACTTTATTGAAATATGAAAATATATACTTCACTTGCGTTTAAATGGCACAAAAAATATACTGTATATAAAGTGCTGAAACAATTCACATAAAAGTTATAATATTTGCAATTGATTTAATAAAATTGTGTTAGTAATATTATATGTTTTGTTGGACTCGGTTTAGATTTAAGAGTATTTTTATATCAAAATCGAACCTTGAATTGAAAGAATTATCTTGTCTTTAAAGTATAATTTTAAAGCGATTTACAAATACAACTTTTACTTAAATATGATGAGTATGAGTGCACTTTCATTACCTTATATTTATTCCATTTATTTAGTTATTTATATTTTTTTAAGTACATTTATGAACAGGTATTGCTGAATCATTTATACTTTTATTTACCCACATTTTACATTTAGTTTTATAAAAATCATGACTTCTCCAAAAGTCAATATTCCAAAAAATGACATAATTTACAGACGGTTGCTTCTGGCAACAAAGACAATCTCATCATGTCCCCATTGTCTGTACAAACTGTTCTATCCCTGGTGTCAATGGGAGCTGGTGGTAATACTGCCACACAAATAGCTGCTGGTTTACGTCAGCCTCAATCAAAGAAAAAATTCAAGATGACTACCATGCATTGATGAACACTCTTAATACACAAAAAGGTGTAACTCTGGAAATTGCCAACAAAGTTTACGTTATGGAAGGCTATACATTGAAACCCACCTTCAAAGAAGTTGCCACCAACAAATTCTTAGCTGGAGCAGAAAACTTGAACTTTGCCCAAAATGCTGAAAGCGCTAAAGTTATCAACACTTGGGTAAGGGAAAGAAATCGCTGCATTATTCTTTTCAAAATGAAAAGTATTACTAACAAATATTTAAAAATAACTTGAAACAGGTTGAAGAAAAAAACTCATGACAAAATTCATGATTTGATCAAAGCCGGTGATCTAGACCAGGATTCAAGAATGGTTCTTGTCAATGCATTGTACTTCAAGGGTCTTTGGGAGAAACAATTCAAGAAGGAAAACACTCAAGACAAACCTTTCTATGTTACTGAAACAGAGACAAAGAATGTACGAATGATGCACATTAAGGATAAATTCCGTTATGGAGAATTTGAAGAATTAGATGCCAAGGTTATTCTAAACTTAGCTTTGTATAATTTATATTATGTAGGTAGTGTGATTAAAATGATTTTTTTATAATAGGCTGTAGAATTGCCCTACAGGAACTCAGATTTGCCATGTTAATCATTTTGCCAAACAGCAAAACTGGTCTCCCCGCTCTTGAAGAAAAATTACAAAATGTTGACTTGCAAAACTTGACTCAACGCATGTACTCTGTTGAAGTTATTTTGGATCTGCCTAAATTCAAGATTGAATCTGAAATTAATTTGAATGATCCTCTGAAAAAGGTTAATCTTTGATTTATGCATGGGCAGTTTCTGCTACAAAGCTAATCCATTTTTTGGCAATTCAGGTTTATGTAAATATAAATTTTCAAAATTTATTTTATTCGCAATATTGAATAATTCTAAACTTACATCCAACTCGGCTTTCATATCATTTACTTAGTCATATTTTGAATAAACTAAGCATATGCTTCTATTCGAATATTTTAAAAAGCTGTTTATTTGAATAAATTACATGAAGTAAATTTTTAAAGAAGACTATTTTTCTTAATAAAATGGAATTGGCTTGTACTTAGCAGTAACTAAATGGAATATTTTTATGGAATACAAAGAAATTTCTATTTAAAATTTATGCAACTTGTAGTTGGGTATGTCTGATATGTTTGTTCCTGGAAAAGCTGATTTCAAAGGATTGCTTGAAGGATCTGATGAGATGTTTATATATTTCTAAAGTAATTCAAAAAGCTTTCATTGAAGTAAATGAAGAAGGTGCTGAAGCTGCAGCTGCCACAGGTAATGATAATAATCTAGTTTTAATTTAAAAAATTCTTACATGAATAATTTTTGTCGAAAAATTTTCTATAAAATTAATTTATATATGAAATATCCTTTTCAGGCTATTGTTGTAATGCTTATGAATTTCTTTATTCTGGGTTTATTTTGCCTAATATGTTGTGTTTTTCCATGCAGCTTGCCACGTCCGTATGAAGCGTTCTTTGCTGGTGTCCGAAAACCCTATTTCATTTAATGCTGATCATATGTTTACATTCATGATTGTTGATAGTGGTGTTTCTATGTCTAAGCAAACAAAAGTTATATTTAGGGGTTGTGTTAGGACCTGTCCTGAAATAGTTCACACTAGGGA